TTCCTGCTTCTTGGCAGGGGGTTGGACTGGATGGCCCATGAGGTCTCTTCCGACTCTGTGATTCTATGATTCTATATGTGGTCTGTTGATTCCAAAAATTGTACCAGTTTCCCCCTATCGGCTCTAGTATTTGAGATATATAATTTATGCCATACACCAGTCTTCATTTGTTCGCAGATACAAAACCATGATAACCATATTTAAGAAACTAGAGCTGATATGGTCTATCCAATGAAGTTTTCTGAATCAGCACCTGGGAACAGGCTAAAATCCAAGACAGCACATTTTATGTTGTTGGGCTGTGCAATCTTAAAGATGAGGCACTTCTGAAAGAAAAGAGGAGACAACCTAAATTCAACCCTGTCTATGAATCAGACCCAGAGTTAAGCTGTCAAAGCCTCATGACTGACTGAATGAATTTGCCTGTCCTGGTTTCTCCCATATTCAGTTTTAAAAATCACTTTTCCCTGTCTATATGTGAAGGACTTTTCAAGCTTCGGCAAACAAACTCAAATTAATTTTACCCCCCTCCCCAGAGCTCCTGCAAGAGTATTTCCCATGGATAATACCCATATACATTAGCATAGATATGCTTAATTATGGAAGTCTTTAAAAGACAATTGATCCAGTGTGTCTCATTCATGAATTGGAGTACTCTGAATGCTCAATTTAATTCACAACTTACTCAAGGCCAAGCCTTCAGCTTTGGCTTGTTGAGTTTGTTCATGGATCGCTGCCTAGGTTTGTGAAAGCTGAGTAAATGTGTGCTGAGGTTATTTGCACAGCTGGGAAGTTGGTGAAAATCAATTGTCATTAATCACCCTTCACATTTTCCATTCTTTTTCCAAGAAGAATCCTGAAGACATACTAATGATTAACACTGCAAAAAGTTTTGGATCCTTTGGGGAAATAAAGACTGTGAGGCAACTGGTATATTGCAGTTGCTTTAAAAAAAAACCCTGGAAGCATATGGGTAAAAAAAAGGTTGTAGATTTATGTCCAACATGATTACTTTATTAATTAGACTCCTATACATTTTATGGAGCACATTTCCTTTGTACAGTTTGCTTCCTTCACCACCCTTCTTCATAGGAACAGTCAAAATGTCCTTGTGCTTCAGAACAAAATGATGTGGTTAATATATCTTGTTAAAACCATTTCCTCCTACTCAGTTATATATAACCCTGGGAGATTCCCCTAAAGAGAAAAATCTGTTATTAATACCGATAGCATCTTCCAATATTCCAATGGTTGGGTTGGTAAATCTCCATCAGCAGTTGGACTACACTTGATATCTGGGTTCTTGACACAAGAAAAATGAAACAAGAACCTCGAGTCTCAAATCTGCCAAGAAATAAAATTGGTAGTTCCATTTTTTTTAAAAAAAGAAAACAATTTTGAACTCTAAATTTGCTGCATAGTACAAAACTCCTCCATCAATAGGAAACATGAGTTTTCATCTCTCCAAATATCAGCTCAGGTTCTGAGGGCCTTTCCAGACAGGCTCAAAACACGGGACCTGTTTCGCTTTTACATGAGGCATCCAAATGATGCATCAGGTAAAAGTGAATTAATCCAGAAAAACTGGGATCTCTGAAGCATTATTGAAAGATCCAGACCTTAAGCCACTGACCCTCTCCCCCCAATCCCCCCCCCAAAAAAAAAACCCTAACCCAAGGGGCCTACCAGCAGTGCAGAATACTCCTGATGTATGAAAATGATGGGAAAGCCCAGGGTTTGGGTTGGGGTTGGTGGCACAAACCTGAGAGGAAGTGGGTAGAAATAACCTACTTCCTCTTGGGTTTTTGCCCTGTCCGGATGGGGCCTGACTGATTCTGAACTGGTCTTTACCTAATTCAGTCATATTTTTTTTTGAAGTTCTGATTTGGAGTTTGAATGGGATCTAATGGTCAGCATGCATCCACAGTTTGTAAGAATTTATTTACAAAAATATAACCAATACTAAGTCCTTCAAGGCAAAAGACCAATTGCTTTACAACAGTTCTGAAGAGAGGTCGTTTGTGTGTCAACTTCGGATGACTCTGCTTCTTTCCACTTTTTTTGGAAATTTTCTGTCTAAAGTAAAGGTAAAGGTTTTCCCCTGGCATTAAGTCCAGTCATGCCCAACTCTGGGGGTTGGTGCTCATTTCCATTTCTAAGCCAAAGAACTGGCATTGTCCGTAGACACCTCCAAGGTCAAGTGGCCAACATGATTGCATGGAGCATTCTTACATTCCCACCGGAGTGATACCTATTAATCTACTCACATTTGCATGTTTTCAAAATGCTACATTGGCAGTAGCTGGGGCCAACAACTTCTTCTAAAACAGTGGTTCTCAACCTGTAGGTACCCAGATGTTTTGGCCTTCAACTCCCAGAAATCCTAACAGCTGATAAACTGGCTGAGATTTCTGGGAGTTGTAGGCCAAAACACCTGGGGACTCTCGGGTTGAGAACCACTGTTCTAAAACAATGGGCTACTTGTCCATATCAGGTAACAAAGACTCTTTCCTTTTGTTTAGTCATATATGCACTTTAATTTCAGGTGCCCCTACTTTGAAAGATCCAGATCTTAAGCAATCCTGGGGATCAATCCCTGAGCCACCAACCCTCTCCCCCAGCCCCCCATTTCCCCCAAAAAAACCTAACCCGAGGGGCCTGCCGGGAGTGCAGAATAGTCCTGATGTATGAAAATGATGGGAAAGCCCAGGGGTTGGGTTGGGGATGGGGACACAAACCTTTAGCTGGAGAAGAGGGTCCCCTTTTCAAAGCTTTCTCTATCACACTGTGTAATTGCTAATAGTTTTACAACTATGCCCCCCACTTCATATCTTTAAGCCCTGGTCCCTATTCTTGATTAGCAATCTGTCTTGGCCAAGAGCCATAACACCATTGCTGCTTAAATGCAGCTCTGATGGCAGCTGTGACATAAAAAAAAAATAATTGGGGCCATATAACCTTGCCTCTTCTGAGAAGATTTTCTTCAGGGCAGATTCTTTAAAAAAATAAAATAAGTTCTGGGAATTCTTGATGCTGTTTCTTCTATAGATATAAGCCCTCCAATCTTCATTAATGTCAAAATAGCACATCTCAAATGGCATTAGAAGGAAGGAAAACATGATATGAGTCATCTCACAAACTTCTAGCATTACCACCCACAGCCAGCTTTTCAAGAGGGTGAAAATTGCAACCTTTCACTCGAGAAGCAGGAATGTATCAAGGGAAAGGAGAAGCCAAAATAATGTTTTGATGGATGGAACTTAACCTTGGCCTTTCATGATGAGTAGCTATTCACAGAAAGGAATTTTAAGTCTCGTATATTTCAAACCATTCATTTTTTTAACCATTCTGTTTTGCTTTTAGTGGCCAAGAAAGAAATGATATGCAATCTAAGAATTCATTTTGTATACATAAAGGTTTCTGCCATTAGAATACTTTATAAGAGGATTTTCAGATCTAGTATCTTCTTGAATTTTAAATTACAATGCTTGTTTGTGCCAATAGGTTTAGCGGTGTGAACACCTTAGAGGCACCATTATTTTAGGAAAAAAGGGGGAAATAAACAGACTAGGGTAAAGAAGTGAGAAAGAAAAATAAAAGAATGTCCCCTTCCCTTTTCATTGATTGAAGGATGACAACTTAACACAATTTATTCCCACAGTTTTCTGGACTAATGTAGTCTGGAAAACAGTGGGAATGGTGTCTGGACTGCAGTCCAGACACCAAAAATAGTAGATTTATCCCGAGCCTTCCAAGAAGGCACGGAATAAATCCATTTCTAATTAATTCACTGCAAACCAGGGTTTTCCCCTGACAGGCCATTATATGCTAATCAAGGTGGTCAGTTGAAACATTCACACCTAGCTCCAGCAGACAAGAGTCCTTTGTCCCACCCTGGTCATTCCACAGATATATAAACCCTTTTTCCTAGTTCCAACAGACCTCACTACCTCTGAGGATGCTTGCCATAGGTGCAGGTGAAACGTCAGGAGAGAATGCCTCTAAACCATGGCCATATAGCCTGAAAAATCCTACAACAGCCCAGAGATATAAATGTTCACTAACTTTCTTCTCAAAGTTAGTGATGAATAATATCAGTGATTTTCTTCCCACTGCAATTTTTTTACAGCAAATCATGCAGTTTTGAAGGCTATTCACAATTTGGGGCAAAATCTGTACATAGTTCTGCAGAAAACAGCATTTTGCATGTAGAAAATATTTTTCCATTAAAATATTATTTTCCATGGAAAAATTCAATTTCCGGTATAGATAATGCTGATTGATTGATTTACTTGATTTACCTTTTATTTTCTTTATTTTTATTCTGCCTTTTCCCTGATATAGGGCCTCACATTTTCTTTGGAAATTAGCAAATGTGAATGCTATATAAAGTAAATCCCCAATTCCATCATTTTCAGCATGGGAAACAGCATCTTCTATATGGAAAATAATATTTCAGTGCAAATATATCAACAGAGTGCTGTTTTCTACATAAAACAACCATGTATAAATTTTATATAGAGTGAATCCTCAATTAGAGCATTTTCATAAGGCATTTTAATGGCTTAGTCATGTTTCCAGGACTGGCTTGCGTAAAAGGAATTCTGGGCAATAATGAAGATCAACAAGGAAAAACCAGCTTGCGAAATCACTTTCTGAAACTTTTAAAGTGGACTTTCACTATCCTCTAAAAGACAATCAATACACATTCCAAAATTACTTTAGTTGTGATTTCATCTCAACCTTAAGGGACAACTTTACAGCCTCCTTGTGGTATGCATCAACTGAAATGAGTGACACTTCTATGCTAGATACAATTATAGCACTGTAATTTGACTGGCTTGGTGACATCTTATAAGAAGTGTCAAAATGAGTTCTTCCAATACTTCTGCAACACCACAGTTTGTGAGAATGGATCTGCATTGCCTGAGGAAATGGTTCTCAGTCAACAGGGAAGGCAGCTCTCCTTTGCTAGAGGAAGTCTGAAGAATGGTTAGACTTCACCGAAGGGGAGACATGGGCTGGGGGTTCTGAAGATAGGACATCACTACAGCAGAGGTAGACAACATGAAGGTGCTTATCAACTGTTTGATGTCTTCTGAGCTTCTAGAGTTGGCAAAGCTGATAAACAAACAGTAGACAGCTATACAGGCACACCACTTTAACTTCAACATCATGCCACACATACTAAAAATAATTCCCAAAAGATTCATGTGGTCAGGTGTTGAGTCTTCCACGGTAGGGTTGTTCTCTGGAGGCTTGTATCTTAGGACATGGTTGGACCACCGTGGGTCCACCATATTCTTCCACTTAGGAAGTGATATTTAGAGAATTCCAGAGAATTCCAAAGTAACATCCTTTGGAATCCAGGGATTTATAGTTGGGTAAAGTACTGCCGCTCTCTTGCTGGTCATTTTAAATACTCCCTCTTGAACTGGAGTTACCAGAATTCCATAGTTTTGTTGACATGGCAGTTAAAGTAGAATCTCTGCTTCCCTTCCAATATTATAATTATTTTCCATAATTTTGAGAATTTAAATTCAGTTTCAAGTTTCTTTTACTTGTTCTTTTAAAAAATATATTCTCCTGATTTGGCCACCCACTCTGTTTTAATGAGTTTATCAGTGCTACTTGATTGGTTGTTAATTGATGTTAGTTCTTGGATCGTACCTCAAGGAAAAGGGAAATAGGTTATAAATATTAATATGATGAAATGAATAAACTAATAGAATGAGGCAGGTGTCAGCCAGCACCTGCAGAATGTATGTTAGTCACGTCTGGGCATTCAACGACAGCTGCATTCAGCAGATGCAATGAATTAGCTGACACAACATTTCTGAAGAGTTCCTTCCTAATAATTCTCCATGTTTGGGGATTTGACTTTTGAAGATTTTGGTCATGAAAAAGCTGACTCTGAAAAGGATCAGGTATGTAGAGAGATTGGGACTCTGGGAGAAGAGTGTTCAAACACTTTTTCAGCCATGGAAACTCACAGGTAGACCCTGGGCAAAATACAATGTCACAGCACTGAACTCATCTCCTTTGTTTTGCTTGCTCTACTGTTCTCTCCAATACAGTCTTCTCCCACACAAACAATTCCTTGGACATCTCTATTTGCCCATTGCTTTTGTGCTATCATTGTAATCTGTGGCATTAGGTAGTAAATATCCAGTATAACTTGAATGAGAAAACTGGAGGCCACAAATGGCACCAATGTTCAGAAAGTACGATTTCCCCCACAACAAAACTGCAAGGTTTACCTACATGTTTGGCAGGGAAATGATATCAATTTGTCTTCATCCTGTTCCCTGGTTACAAAATAAGGCAATGGAAAGGAGACTGCAGGCATTGATGGGTAAAGTATTGATGAAGTAATGTTTTAAATTGTATAGGCATCCTGTTTACAACAGACTGGGAAATAAGAAATTCTACCCATCTGTCCACCCTCTTGACACTGAACAGTCAATTGCTATGAAGAGCCAAGAGGGATTGTTTTTGGAAGAGAAATAGCCTTTTCCAGATTGGGAAATATTGTTTTGCATACCTTGCATTGTTTTGGATTTACTCATGAACCACACAGTTACATTTCCCTTTTAATTTCCTATGAGGAAATACCACAAATTGCTACTAGCTCAGGTTAGGATCTGTTACCCGAAGACAACATTCAACTCAAGAAGAACTGCACTACATTTAACTTTGCTTTTGACAGTTTTCTTAATACTTAAATGTATATATGTTCCTATTCTGACATTTGTTCATTTTTTGGTACTGGCCATCGACCAATACCCCCCCCCCCCCCCCCCCCCCCCCGTGGTTCTCAACCTGTGGGTCCCCAGATGTTTTGGCCTTCAACTCCCAGAAATCCTAATGGCTGGTAAAATGGCTGGGATTTCTGGGAGTTGTAGGCCAAAACACCTGGGGACCCACAGGCTGAGATCCACTGATATACAGACGCACACACACACTTGAGAGTTCTGACATCTTCCAGCTATTGGATAATAGCACTTATCCAGAATCCTATTAGCATCAGATGCATATACCATAGAAACTGTTGGGCATTTTTGTCTTATCTGGAACATATGTATTCAGTTCAAGATTGTAGAGTTGCACATACAGAGCCATTGTGCATGGATGCATACTGATGGATCCACATGTGTATTTTGCATAGTTATGCAATTCACATGTTTGTGCAAACACATTACACATTGTATATTTGGTTTTGCATGCTTCAGGTCACTAATGCAAAACCACTACACAGCTCCATAAGTGTAAACTGTCTCATCATAATTTTGGTCATAATTTGGTTCCGATTATGTTTATCTTAGAGCACTACCTACACTTAATATTTGTGCTTGTGATATTGAGATTACCCTATATGTCAATGTTTCTATGTAAGTTTGTTTGTTTGTTTGTTTATTTACTGCCTTTATTTACCACTTTCCTTACCCCTGGGGGGACTCAATATGGTGTTCATCAAGTAATGGCAAGATTCAATGCCAAAATAATACTAACCAAAGCATAATATCTAAAACGATGACCTATAACTATATATTACAACCACACAAGAATCCGTGTCTTCATAATAAAGCCAGGTACAGACAGAGACATTTGATTCTTTGTTCCTCGTGGTGTAACCTGATATTATCACACTTCAACCTGACTCTTTAATCCAGCAATCTGCCATTGAACTGAACCCTAACTCAGGATCAAATGACTTTAACATCTGGGTAGATTTTTGTTGTTGGTAGTGGACTTGTCTCTTTCTTTCCCTTCCCAAGTGCAGAGAATCCTAGTCTGGTGAAAAGTTCTGAAGAACTTTCAAAATGAATATTTGATTACTATTCTCATTGATTTTAAAACTTTCTTTTCTTTTTTGGTGGTGGTCATAGATTTTTTCACACTACATCATTATAGCATTATGATTCTGCTTTCATGCCATGGATGCATCCTGTGAAGTTCGTAGTTTGGTGAGGTCTTAGAGTGCTTTGGCTAAGAATTCAAAATAACTGTTCTTCAGCTGAAGATTCCATGGGATATTACCATAACAGTAAATATAGTATGATGATGCTATAATTTTGTAGTGTGAACATGTGCTGGTTTATTGTAGCTTGATTTACAACCAATGTCCTTAAGCAAACAAATCTGATCTTGGCTTTGGAACCTGGTTTGCTCTAAAGCCTCACTTTCCTTTTGAAAGAGATTGTGTAACATTATGACTTTCACAATCCTTGTGCTTGTCATTCTATGCAAATAATCATGGTTTGAAAAGGTTGTTTTATTTTCTGACCAGCTGGTGACATAGCCAAGGGATTCTGGGAGATGCAATTCAAGGGATAACTTTTCTAAACTATCCCAAGAACAAGATCCAAAGAATGGATGCGTGCATGGCAGAAGACAAAAGTGCTCTTAGCCAAAGCTTTCCTTTCATTTTGCTCAGTAGCAGTTCTCACTGCCAAACAGACAAGTCACTGTGCAGCTAAACAATTGATTTGTCTGTTTAGCAGTGGGAATGTCTGAAGCGAACAGTGAATAGAGAGTTTGAGAAACACACATGGTGCCCTTTCAATATCAATTCTTTCCATCTCGACCACCTACTGTCTTTAAAAAGAGAGCGTCTATAATATACAATAGGTAGTGTAACACCCAGGTGTTAAATTCAAGTTTAAAGCATTGGTAATGTTAGAAGGAAACCAATTCATATAAAATTCAGCTGTTTTGCTTGTAACTTTATTTATTAGACTTAAATAGTTCCTCAGGATGTTTGTTTAGACTGCCCTTCAAAGCATCCGAGAATTAGGTTAAGCGGCAACCACATATTTACCTTCTTGGCTGAATTAACCCATTAAGACTGGTCTCCATATTTTAGCTGAATATCTTTTGCATTGTTGGCAGCATCCTCTTTTATATTAATCAAAAGCATGCTTTCTCAATGACTGTGAATTGACAGTGCCAAATTTCACCTTGTGAATGCTTTTGCTGTGAGAGATCAGAATTGGGGGGGGGGGGGCAGACAATATTTTGAGCTGAAAATATTGTACTTTTTATGCATGGGTTCTCACAGGGAGCCAGCATGGAGTCATATTATGAGTTTTGGACTTTGCTTTTGGAGACCAGAGTTCAATTCCATATTCAGCCATGGAAACCCATTGGGTGACCTTGGAAGATTCACCCCAGAAAACCCCATAAGTAGGAAATGACTGCAAAGCACACCACAAGAGGGGTTCTCTAAGATCTGAAATGTATTTCAAGAATTTTTGCAGAGTGAAAAGGTTGTGAAGATCTAGGCTAGAGAGTCACTTCCACCACAATAGGTAAAACTGATGGAGTATGGTGAGAGACACAGTGAAAAATTTCATTCATTATTCTGTATATATTGGATATTCTGAATATTGAAAAGAGAGAACCCTTCTGGTGGGAACTGGTAGTGGCAGTACATCATTTTTGCTTCTTGAGTTTGGGGACTTCATCAGACGGACCATGGCAAAATGGCATTGCTTCCTCCCATTTTGAGGGATGACTAGCCATCCTATTCTCTCCCTCCCCCCGCTTTCTCCAGTCTTAAGGCTATTTGGAGTGAGATAATACCCAACTACTGAAGGTGTAGGGCTCCAATTCCATGCACTGTGGAAACAGAGCCCACCGGAAATGCCCGTATGTCATGTAATGGCCTCTGTGGGGCTCCGTTTCCACAGTGCATGAAAAAGGAGCCCTACATCTATCTAATGAGGTCCTGGGTCACTATTCCTAAATATTACCATGGTACTCCAAGAAAATATTACAACCATTATTACGCCAATGCAATATTCAAGGTTATATTGCTATTCAATTAATCATGGTACTTGAGTCATTGACTATAGTTCCCTGTTGAATTTTCAGGAAAAGAAATAATGAAAGAATTGTAGCAATGGGCACAAATATGATACCAATCCATGGCAGAAAACCTTTAGTCCATTACATCAGACAATTTTAGATGCACTACTCTATTATATTTGCAGCCATTCAAATTAACTCTTATGCCTTGAATATCAGTCAGTAAAATCTTCATGTAACCTCTGCACTGCTATCCTAGTATCCTTTCTGTTGCCTTTAGCAACTAAACCTCTCAAGTGCAGCTATTATAATATCTGTGGTTGGACAGACAATTTTTAAAAAGCATGCAGAGTAGGGCCTGTATATTAGAAAACCATACTAGTAGTTAGATAGCAGAGCTGTATGGCATCCCAAGAGTATTCACATAATTCACATTCTGTATCCATTCTCAATGTTTGAAGGACACCAGGAATGTCATTGCAGGGCCTAA